TTTTTTAAAGTTTAGTTACGATGAAAGAAAAAAAATCCCTCTGTGCTTCCTCACTTATGACCAATCTCCTTACAACTGTTTGATATATTAATTGTAAGTATGATGACCTTACGACCAGATCAATGACCTCAGGACCAACCTTATTTCAGTCAATACTCAATCCTAAGGAAAAGGTGTGAAGAAGGATGTCTCAATACTGAGGACAGAAGGGAGATTTTTTCAAATTATAGCTCTCTCCTCCCCACCCCCAATTCTATCCCACTATTCCTGACAGCATATTATAGATAATAAAGATCTGAGAGAATAAAAAAAAAATTGAGAATTAGGGAGATGGAAAAATGAGTGGAAAACGGAGGTAGTCATCTGCCATTGGAAGATGAGAACAAAGACAGATGACCAGGTTAGCATGGGTAGTAGTTGAACAGATTCTGTAACAACAAAGTAACAAGGTCCATGGAAGATAGAATTTCTGGGAGAAAAGGGGGCAAATGGCAACTGCATGAAAAGATAAAGCTTCTATGAACTTCAGATTATCTCTACTTTTCTACATTTATGGAATTTGTCAATGAATGTATGGGCAACATCTGAAGGGATTCTGTATATAGGTTGAAATGTTTAAATTCATAAATAGTATCATTTTTAATGTATATAAAATCTTGTCCCTTAGGCTGGTAAAGACCCTCATGTTTAACATAATGTTCCCTTCACTGTTAATTACATTAGTTAATATAAAATATGGGAACATTAACTGAGATCTGAACTTTTGAGAATCTTTAATTAAGCCTTGCCCCTAGTACCTAAGGAGATTTAGATGCTTTCTATGTGTTCCTTCCTCTAGCATTCTCCTTCTCTGAGCAGTATTCTGTGGACTCTCAAAACACACACACACACACACACACACACACACACACACACACACACACCCTTACCTTCCAAGAGTAAAGACTAGGTATGTTCAGCCTAGGAATATACTGAGAGCTGACTGTGGAGGCCATGGGCTATTGCAATCCCCTTTTTTCCCCCTACAATTAAAATTTAGGTTTCCAAATGTCTGCTCTACAGGGATGTGAAGTAGTTATTATGTCATGGTTTTTATTCCTTACACCTTCATGTTAACAAAATTGAGCTGGTTTTTAACAATTTAAATGCACTTTTTTTTGGAAGGGGGTGACAATACAATGTCTTCTCAAGCTATGACTTAGGTGATCTTTAAAGACATCATTGAATTCTTCTGCTTGAGTTATGCTGGCTAATAGGAATTTAAGTGCTAACTAGTGGGAAAGCATTGAAGCATTCATGCATGTGAAATCAGATGAACACCCACAATGTGGAATTTCCTAAGGAAAGTTATTCTAGCGAAGAAATACAGGCCCAGGTTGAGTGCCAGTAACTTTTCAACTAACATGTGGAGCTATCATCCTAATAAGTAACAACTAAAGGTGCCTAAAGTAAAGTAAGACCAGCATTTTCAAGTCCATATTTTCAAACACATTTAAAAAACACCAACTCAAACGAGTTATATACAATTCCCTTCCTCTGTTGAAGAAATTTAATCTTAGTTTCTAAATTTTGGTTTCATATATCAATGTTTACTCTTGAAAGGCACATGCACAACTTATTTAAGTAAACCTTAAATAAACAAATCTTATTTACCTTAATAAATAGCAATGTGTCAATGAGATTATTTAATAAGCAATGTTTTATTATTTATTAAGATTTAACTTTTATTTAACTTAAATAGCCAGATAGAACAACTAATTCACCTGTGAAAAGAAATTGAAATCAAAAGCTCTGATTTCTATTAGTGATTTTTATTTCTGTTAGTAATTATGTCTCCCTGAAACATTTTATTTAAAATGATCTACTTAAAAACTATTTAAAACTATTTACTTAGAACTATTCTATTTAAATCAATTTTCTACTTGTCATGCAATTCTAGGTTGCAATGTGATTTCAGCTTCTACTCATCAAGGTTAAAGGGACACATTCTAATACATATCCTGTGTCAAATCAGTTCAATTACCTTTCAAAATTGCCTAAAATTGTGAAATACTGGTGGTTCAAATACACGACTCTAAGATATTTCATACTAAGTGTATACCACATCATGCAGTGGTAAATAAATTTATGCCCAAGCCTTTCTAAAAAGTAGTAGAGGTAAAGCTGAATCTTTGCTATCATGTTTATTTTACAGCAGTTTTTCCCATCATATAATTTAGGATGATGTTGATGTTGATAACAATCATGGCCATTGGGTCCTCAGTTTCCTCATTTACAAAATGGTGTTAATGATAATATCTGCCTCATGTGGTTGTTGAGAAGATTAATAGAAGAAGGTTACCTGATAATAGTAGGTGCTCAATAAATGTTAACTATTATAATATTGTTATTGCCATTTTTATTATTGCTCTTATTGCTCAGAAATTTTAAAAAATTGGATAATTAGGAAAATGTTCTTTATATTGGACACCTGGATCATGCTCATTTATCATGTATATTTTTAAATTTAGCCAGAGCTGTGATAAGTTATAGTCTCTCCTTCAGTGATCTTTAAGCTAGACTGCTGTAGTATTTTATTTTATTAACATCCCTGAAAAAATTCAAAAAGGCTCTTCATAGGTGCAAAATGTAATAACTTGAATGTTACTTTCCAGGAAGATGATTCAATATATTTTACCCGAGTAAAGAGACAATATTCTGGGCTCCCAGATATAAAAGGATTTAAAAACCCTTGAGCATATGGTGTTTGTATGGCTTTTGTTACCATAGCCTACCTTTATCGGGGCACCTATTTATCTATTTTCAACTGATGTGTCACATAAAAGAAAAATAAAGACAGAAATTGCAGTCAAATTCTAGAGAGAGTGTTGTTTTAGTAGAGAGATGTGGTTTTAGTGGAGAGATGTGGTTTTAGTCATCGTGTCTTAATTTGAAAATATTCTCCTGCAGTAAGGAATAAACTGTGGGTTTATGACTAGAGATCAGTTGAAGGTTCTATATCTCCTGATTAGGATTCATGTTCATTTGTTGTTTTCTTTTAAGTTGTAATCAATGTCTAATGTGCTAGTTTCACTGTTCAGAAGATGAATAACTTTATGCATTTAGGGCAGTTTCTTTACAAGCAGTTCATTCTGAACAGTGGCAAAAAATAAATAAATAAATAAAAAGGTGTTTTTCCTGAGTGTCTTTTAAAATTATTTCTCTTTGGAAATATCTTTAAAACTGACCAGACTGGAAGTTTTAGCCATTTGGTTATAATAACACTGATGAGTAACAGACTGAGCAGGGTTGAACAGGTACTTAAATGAAAAGTCCACTTTGGGAACAAAAAAAGTCTCAGTTCTGTCTTGATTATGCACTTGTGTTGCACACCATGGCAACTCACCAACTTAGGTTGGTTCTATGCACTTGAAAAAGAGGTTTAAAACTGTTTTAAACGTCTGTGAAACACTACACAACATAATCTTGCCTTCAGCTGAGTCCCTTTATTCCCCATCAGAATCAATATTCCATTCTTTATTCAAATCAGGCCAATGAAGAAAACTACAGAATGTGTATAGAGTTAGGCAATTTGAAGGATTCTGGCCCATTTCTTCCTTCCAGTACAATCTTTTTCTCTTCTCTCTTACCTTTCACTTTATAAAGATATTTGAGCTCTTGCCACACATGAAAAAACAAAAACGAAAACATAACCCTGTAAAATATTATTATTGGGTCCTAATCAAATTAATTTTTCCATTTGGAGGAAAGCAGTACATCCAGCCTGCAATAATATTTAAAAGAGCACCTGAATGGCATCCAAGGTCTAACTGGTGAAATGTGAAAGATCCAAAGCCCTTTGGTGTGCATAGTAACATTATTAGCACACTAAATTTAATCATAAAATGTTAAATTATCAATAGAAATAAATTTTCATGCATTTATTTCAAACTAGTGGCTTACTGAAAATGGCAAACACTTAGCTGGTGTTTTAAAAACAGAGTTCCTTCCTGATACCTATAAATACTTCATAAACAAGGAATGTGAAATTTTACTTTATTTATTTTTTATTTTAGAGAGAGCACAGCAGGGGAGAAGGGGCAGACGGAGAGAAAGAATCTCAAGTGGGCTCCACACCCAGGTCAGGGAGGGGAGGTGTGACGCCAGGCTCCGCATGGGGCTTGATCCCACTACCCTGGAATCATGACCCTGGCCAAAATCAAGATTCAGACGCTCAACCAACAAAGCCACCCAGGCACCCCAAGGAATGTGAAAGTTTAAGCAAGGTTGACAGCTATTTTTCATTGCTCATGCTGAACCACCTTTGCACGGTAGGCTCCTTGTGAAAGACGTTCATTCACAGATTCAATGATTCACTCACTCATACATGGAACAACACATTTTATGCCAGGCATGTTAGAATACATGGATGGAAGACAATGGTCTGTGTCTGAGAAAAAGAGCTCAGATTATCTCCTAGCCTACTACTCAGTAGCATTCAATATCTTCAGTCCACGGTCACATCATGAGTTAAGGAGACAACAAACATCTCTTACTGCAAATGATTAAAAAACAAACAAACAAAAAAACCACTCTGTACTGTGAAATAGTCATCATCTTTCACGTGATTGCAGGTAGATGTCCTCAAAATATACACTTCATTGAGAAATACAAATTAGGATAAAACAAAACAACAAAAAAATCTATTACTCAGAAACCAAATATGATCCTAGCTTTCCCTTTCTCATCCAAGTGGGAATGAGATACCGCGGGTCAGTGAACTGGATAGGGAAACACTTTGGAACTCCCTACCTTTCAACTGCCTGCATAAAAATGATTCCTCGGCTATTTATTAGGGTTATCTACAAGCAACGTTCCTTGTTCTTCGGTGCGAAGGAAGACCAGAAGCCCTGGGTTTCCACAATTTACTTGTGCTTTCCCCTGAAGGTCACCACCCTTCCTTCCCACCCAGCCAGTAAAAGTGAAAAGTTTTAATTGAGCGCACTTGAACTTCTTCCTACCTATTGAGCTGTGGGTCAACCCAGCGGGGGCGGGGCGAAGCGCTGGACTCCCAGCTGCTGCATCTGCACAGGCCCGAGTCCAAACGTCCCTATCTGAGACCACGCCGGTCTGTGCGCTCGCGGGGGGCGCGCAGGTTTGAAACGTCACGTTCCGCGCGACTCCGCCCCGCCCCTCCCCAAGGTGCTCCACCCGCGAGACCTGGCAGGCTTCTCCGTGACATTTCTGTACAAGGCGCGATTTTTTTTACCTTGAAAAAAAAAAGTTTGTATTTTTGCTTCTGGATACTTAAGAATAATTTGTAAAATTCCAAAATGTGTACATAATGTAAAAATTACCTGTATTCTAAAGAGAAACACTAAGAACACTTATTGTGTATCTTTGTGGTCTTTTTGCTAAGAATAGATAGAAATAAATAGATCGTGCCTCTTCTCGGCCTCTAACACATAAATATGCAGGTATCATATACATAAATAAACTTTATAAAGTTTTGTACATTAAAAATTTTTTTTAATGTTTATTTATATTTGAGAGAGAGACAGAGAGAGTGAGTGTGGAGGGGGGGGGGGAGGGGCAGAGAGAAAGGGAAACACAATCTGAAGCAGGCTCCAGGCTCTGAGCTGTCAGCACAGAGCCCAGAGCGGGACTCAAACTCGTGAGCTGTGAGATCATGACCTGAGCCAAAGTTGGTTGCTTAACTGACAGCCACCCAGGTGGCCCAGACATCTTTTTTAAAGAACAGTATTTTTACTCTAAAATATACATATGTAGGAGTTCAAACCCTGATTGTATGTATTAAGGAGAACAGCCATGTATCTATCTTCTCTACATTTAGGAAGAATATTATTAACACATTTGAAAAAAAACCTATGTACCTCTAAGGACTGCATCATTCTGCTAAAAACTGTTACTAATTGTATGACATTCCCTTGCTTTTCCTTATAGTTTAGCAAATCATATAGGTATCACTTTTTACTGAAATATGGTACACGTACAGAAAAATGAATTAAACCGCAAGTATGTTCAATGAATTGTCATTAAGTGAACTCAGCAGGGTAAGCACGATCCAAATAAAAGAAGTAAAACATTTCTACCACATCAGAAGCCCCTTCTAATCACTACCTGTGTTTTTATTCCCCAAAGGTAATCATTGCCCTGGCTTTTTAACACAATGGTTTAGTTTTGCCTCTTTTTGAAACTTACAAAAACAGTCCAGTCATGATTTTACTGCTCTATATTGCCAATGACTATCGCTATCTTTTACAAAGTACACTCAATATAATGACTTTTAAATTGGAAGTCTACTTTGTCTTCCTCACATAACATTGGATAGCATTCATTTTACATGCCATTTAACATTCCACTAAAATATTATTTATTTTCTACATACTCTAGTGGGTGGATATACCATGATTTTATTTTATTGGGAGTATCAGTGTTTTTGTTATTGTTTTTGTTTTTTGCCAAATTTTCCCAAGCAAATACATATCCTCATGCACATCTTTTGGTGTACTTTTTGGGGTTATTTCTTTAGGATTACTTTTATAAGTGGAATTTCTAAGTTAAAGAGCATTAACTTTTTAATAGCCCAGTGTCCTGCTGTGATGTTGATTTACTAAAAAATGATGCCAATTTATAATCCTGCTAGTAGTACTCTGTGATGGTGTCTCATTTCAACTTCCCCAACAGCAGTTTTTGTCATCTTTGTTAATTTGGTAGGTAAGGAATATTTCCCTTTGATTTTCATATTTGCACTGCCTGGTTACCAGTGAAGTTGATTATACATGTCTATTATGTATATATATTTCTCTTATTATGTCTTATTTATACGTTTTTCCCCCCCAGTCTTTCCAAGTTTTGACATTGATTTCTCCAAGAGTAGGCAGCTACTCTGCTTGAGTCCCTTAAGTCAATGATTGGGCTAAATCTCAAAGCTGTCATATGAATTCCTTCAAAGTTTTAAAATATCTGTTGAATCCCACACCCCTCCCATAGGTGGCAGGATAGCGCTGGTTGGTTTCAATTTCTTTACCGCACTGCAGTGACTGAGTGAGGTAAGTCAGGTCCTTCTACCCTCATATGCAACTGAAGAAAATTACTTTTCCACAAATGACTTATGCAGTTTGCTGAATGGGAATTTGAACCTGTATCTTCCCATTTAGATCTCTACTTTTAATAATCTTGAGCTAAAAGTTTTCCCTCTGTCATCACAGGTCAAATAGTTCAGATTTTGTTAGGTATGGAAGCCTATGTATTTCAGACGTGGAAAGAGTTTGTAAAACCAGGCAAAAGAGTAAGTAATTGCTGCAGAATGCAAACTACATGAGACGGACTCTTATACTCCTTAAATAAGGAAAATAATCCCCCAAATGATGCCACCATGCATGGCCATGAAAGTTGTACATGGCACAACTCCAGAGAAGGCATCATCCACATCCATTATGAATAATATGAATGACGTCCTCTGGACTTGTGCAGTGCCACACCTGCATAATCGTATAC